TCATGTACATCAAATCATAACGGCCTGTTCTTTGAAATTCCATAATCTCATTACATATCTTCTCAAGATATTCCTTTTTGGCCCTGTCCGTGGCTCTTTTCAATTCATTCCTCAGTCTCCTGTATTTCCTCCTGCCTTCTTCATTGTTGACATTCTTCCATTTCCTTCGCTCCTCCATTTTACTCATCATCTCCTGTGTAACCCATGGTTTTCTTGCTATCTTTTCAACTTTACCAACCAAATCACTGATAGTATCTAACATGCATTCTTTTATATTGTTCCACTGTGCTTCAGCATTTCCGCTTTCACCTTCACTTGCACCGAGTTTCTCTTCTAGGGTCTCTTGCATGCTTTGTCTTTGAGCATATAACTTCTCCAAATCCCATCTGGGTCTGCGCTTTCGAAATCCTATAATTTTCTTCAATTGGACATGTGTCACAATATAATTATGTTTATCTTCTCCTCCTTTCACTTTTCTGCTGGAGCAAGCTGCATAATCTTTTGTTACCTTCCCTCCCATCATTTGTCTGAATTAGGTGCAGTTTACCATTGAGACAATTTTCTATATATGTTCAACTTGGTTTTCCTCTCTTTTGCCCCCCCCCTTCTTTTTTGATATTTCCTAACAATATTTCAGTCATGTTCTTACAGATCTCCAGATGAGACAAAGTTTTGCTATTAGCTGGTTCATGTTATACAATTTTTTTTTTTGCTTACATATCTGTTAATTTCAGCAGCTATTTCTTCAAAGTTGCACCAAAAAAAAAAAGGATAAAAATTTGTGTCTGTAAACAGACATTTGTCCATTTTGATGTGGTTTATAACCAGATGAGGCACAAAATGGTATATAGATATTGTGGTCATTTTTGTCCCAGAGAGCCCAATCTTTAATATTGTCGTCCTTGTAACCATTAACTGCCTGCGCTGCCTATAATTGCACTTGCCTGACCATAATCAGAATTCCTACAATTGTCACGCAAATCAATCCTATGTGTTTCGGCATCAGGGTCAATGTGATCAAATATATCGATGTCTGAATCCTGGCTAAATTGACTGAAAGAATCATGAGTCATCATGCAATTGTTCATCTCTTTGCTTCCACTGCACACCTAGTGGAAAATAACATTGGGATATAATTACAGAGAAAAATATATGCAGACCCTTCAAGAAAACAGTCACAAAATTCACAAAAGTATTGCAACAAACAGTTTGTTAACACCACTGCAAAGAAGAAGGTTGTAATGACACATTGAGGCTGCCTGCCTCCTTCAGACTGACTCCAGATTGTCTATAACATTCATAAAACTTGTAACTGACTGAGTCCAACAAAGGACCAGCACATGGGATTTAAAGTGGCGGGCTCTGTGCTGAGGATATCCCTGCAGTTTATCAAATGGAATATTTCATCACCCTTGCATTCAAAAGGTGTAAGTAAAAGTAAAGGTATCCCTGTAACAGGCCGTGAAGGCCCGTGGGTTTGTGAGATGTTGAGGTTGCCACATTTGCTAGACAGTCCGCTCATAGATGGCGGTAAGGTTGTCAGCCTTACACATCGGCTGCCCTTTACCCCCAAGAACATTCCAAGAATATTCCTGGTACTTGTTTCTGTTAGAGGCTGAGTTGACCCCAGGGTCACAGTGCAGCTGGAAGGATTAGGTAAATTAAAAAACCCCCATTACCTCATCGGGATTCAATCCCGCAACCTTCCAACTTGTAGCATAGTGCCTCAAGCAACTATGCCACCTCATGCCCCCATGCGAAAGGTGTTTCATATGGATATTTCCAAACATGAAAACAAGTGATGAAGTCGTGTTTTGTTCAGCACAGTTAATTCATTTCTGGATAATCTCATATCAGATGGAGATGCACTACATGAAAAGTACATTTTCTGTAAGTATATGTGTGTTTATGATTAAAATCTGATGGAAGGAGATCAGGGAGTGTCTAATCACGGATGGAGGATAATAAAAATGGACCTTAAAGAACTCAAATGTGAGGATCAGAATTGAATTCATGTGGCTCAGAATGGAATCTAGTGGGAGGCATTTTTGTACACAATAATTAATGTTTGACTGGAATGAAAGTTGGGGAATTTATTCACAAGCAGAGCAACTATTGGCTTCTTGAGAAAGACTTTTATCTGTTGTACATAGTCACTTGATTTAATATTTATCTCTCAGACTTTTGTTTGTCACCAGACTATGTCAGTATTGGAATCCCTTGATATTTTGTGAAAAGAAGCACCGTGCTATCAAATGTAATAACAATATCTCCCAGTTCATTAATTGCACATTGCATTATTGCAACACCACATGCACACAGTTTAGTGTTGCATTTTTTCAACACTAATACCAGTACCCTCAAGTTAAAATGTGACTATCAGGCCTTTAGTGCCAGAAGATTCAAAATCCCTTATTCCTAGACAGTAAACTGCTATGCCAAAGTTAAAACTTGGTTGCTAACCCCATGGTATCAGAAGATTTAACACTCCCAATTTTTGGATGATGCAGGTCAATACTTTGTACTAAATGTCTGCCTACAGTAGAGGTTAAGAATGGAACCATAAGTACTGATGTTCTGAGAAACCCATTACTTTGGAAGTTAACCATCACATTACTGTTGCAGGAGAAGGAAAAGTACAGCCAGATGGCTGCAAAATGGCAGAAGGAACTGCAGGAGTTGCAGTCGCAGGCACAGGAGGACAACTTGACACGTGTGCGATTGCAAATGGAGCTTGACTCTAAAGACTCTGAGATAGAGCAACTACAAGGGAAACTAGCTTCCCTTAGCAGCGAAACAGCTTCCCTTAGCAGTGGTGGTGCTGAAAATGATGATGAGCTCATGGGACAAGGTAAGAGGCATAAAATTCAAGGGGTAGAATGTGAAGAGGATATGTGTGCCACAAGCAGATTGAGAATGTTTGTCTTCCTCTGGGAGTCATAAAAGTTATTTAGATTTAATTGTCATATTTATTCCAGTCACTCAATAATATCTGATAATCAGAAGTTAAATTAAATTAACAAGCTAGTTCATGTAGTGGTTGCATTGTAGACTTGTATTTGGAATGTAACCAGTTTGAATGCCAGCTGTATTATCAGCTATTTTGACACGTATTTGTGGTTTTGCTCATTCTCTTCAATTGAATTGCAGGAATGTACCCTTAAATAGGAAATGACTGCACCTTCCAAATTCTTAATCACCATCCATGATCATTTTCCTTTCTGATTTGTTGCTATATAACCTATGTACTTGAAACAACGGTGTTAAATATGAAGGAGGACCCAAAAATAACCGGAAACGACCTGTTGCGCGCGCATGCTTTGTAGTTACGAGTTGTGCTGCTAGGTGGTGTTAGCTGGGGGTCTCCCGCGACTGTTAGTGAGCTGGCGTCAGTCTGAGTTAAGTGGTTTGTCTGTGGTGCTCTGTTGTGTGCGTTCCTGTTTCAACCCTTTGGCGATTAGTGAGATGGCCGACCAGAAGGAACAAAGAGTGTGCGTGAAATTTTGCTTTCTGTTAGGGAAAACTGCACTTCACTCTTCAAGTCGCGGCAAACATTCACGCGGTTTTCTCTTTGGTCATCTCCGAGCAAGCGAGGAACAAATTTTGCAGACACCCGTCTCATGTGCAAACCTTCGGTTAAAATTCGCTGGACCGTGCTCCATGAGATGTTCGTTTCCTCAGAAAGTTGGTCAGTGGTCTTTCGACGATCTTCATCAATTTCACGCACACTCTTTGTTCCTTCTGGTCGGCCATCTCACTAATCGCCAAAGGGTTGAAACAGGAACGCACACAACAGAGCACCACAGACAAACCACTTAACTCAGACTGACGCCAGCTCACTAACAGTCGCGGGAGACCCCCAGCTGACACCACCTAGCAGCACAACTCGTAATTACAAAACATGCGCGCGCGCAACAGGTCGTTTCTGGTTATTTTTGGGTCCCCGCTCGTATCTCAAAAATCTATCAATAAAATTGAATCATTCTTACCTGCTGCCTTACCGCCTTCATGAATTATAGTGTAATGATGTTAGAATGAATATGTTTTATTACAACAACTTCATTACAGTGACAGAAATTATTGGCATGACTAGTTTTTTTGTATTATGTATGGGGGAGTCCCATATGCCTCAGGCAGGACTACCAGCTATCTTAAACAGACAAAGCCTGATTTGTTCCCTTTCATACTGTTTTTTCCTAGAATTTTAGAAATATGAAAAGAATGTGGACATCTAGTTTTTAAAAATGAAGTCCTTTGACCCAAGGTATGGAAGTGCTTTCCATCTTGGCTACCATGCACTGTACCTTGGGCTGCTCACTATGTGATACACAGAATTGGTGCAAAGCTTTTTATTGCACAAATGAAATAATTTTGATCACTTAAAATATTGTGTTATCCTCCCCTTTAAATTCACAAAGAAACAAATTGTAATTTAGAAAATTAAACACATCTTGGTCAGTCTTCTAATACTTTGTCAATTGTAATACAAAGCGGTGTAATAATAAACGAAAGAAGTATGAAATACAGTTTAAGAAATGGGAATGCATTTTAAAGCATGGAGTTATGAAAATAAAATACGAAATATCATTCCACCTCTCATGATCTTAATTAGACATGGGGAAAGGCTACAATATCTTCAGTTTCTTTCTTGCATATGCCATCAGTTTGTGGACAAACAAATGCAGAACTGTTCTTGACCCTCCCTTGTAAATTTTGTTACTTTGCCCTTATTCACAGACACAGTGATATGTATATATTGTTTCTTTGTGGCAAAAGGTACTAAAGACTCCATCTGGCTTCACATTTGTATTTGGGCCATGGCCTAAAGTACAAACCTGCTTTTTGGCCCTACACATAAGAGCACAACATTTCATTGGTCTTCCTGGCTGCTTATTTATCATTGGCACTTTTCTGACCTTTAAATCTTTGAATCCACTTATGCACATTCTGTGATTCATGCTCACATTGCTGTAGTCTGCTACCATACAACTATATATATATATATATACTGGTGAAACACCGCAGCAGTAAAAAATCTGATTATATTATGATGTTCAACTAAATGACAATCTTCTTATGGAGCAGCCATCACTAAAACTAATCTTGTGCACAAGCCACTGATGACAAAGAATTGATGCAGGTCATACAGGTTGCAGATTGTGTGATTAACATTGTTGGCAGCTAGTGTGGCAGAATTCACTCAATATAAATATGGCATTTTTGTCTTATACGAGTATAACATCAGTCACTTTCTTGCTCTGTATTAGACTGTACTACCTTATCCCTTTTGATATCAGATCTTTTTCCAGTGAACAATTTTCATAAGTCATTGTATTTAGAAGAATCAGTTCTGGGGCTACGTTCTGTTTTATCATGGACAGAAAGGAGACTGGGACAAACAGATTTAATTGAGAAGTTGATTTGTGCTGGCATTGCCAACCATTACAATTCTGATCAGTTAGGTAGTTTGCATGTCATTCCACATAGCAAAAGCAGCTGTCCAAAAATTCTGGAAGTCAGACTGGAAAATCAACTTTCAAACAAGACAGATTCTTTCTCTCAGTTCAATCTTGAAAATTTGAGGTACACTTGCATACTAAATATTGTTATTAGTCCTGTTTCTGTAACTTTAGAAATGGCTTGGCCATGTACAAGACTGATCAATTCTGTTAGTACTGATGTAGATCATCTGTCAGTTGAAGGAAAGTAGGCCTGCAAGATACTGACCATATTTATATTTGTTTTGCAGAGTCAAGGCTTGAGGGATGGTTGTCAGTACCTAATAAGCAGAATATTCGACGGCACGGTTGGAAGAAGCAGTATGTGGTTGTGTCATCGAAGAAGATAATCTTTTACAACTCAGAGAATGATAAGCAGAACACAGATCCCGTTCTTATTCTAGACCTCAAGTGAGTCACTATGATGTACCATTTCGCTATGTTTGTGCCTGTATTAGTATGTCTTCACCTAACCTGCTTTTATCTGTTACAGCAAAGTGTTTCATGTGCGATCTGTTACACAAGGGGATGTAATTAGAGCAGATCCCACAGATATTCCAAGAATATTTCAGGTAAGAGCCATTGGGGATATTTAAAAGCATGAAGGTTTAAAAACTGCAAAAACACAGAAGAGGTGGTAAAAAGAAACATAGTGATTATTTTAAATGTAATCTGGTTTAACTCTTAAAATAGCATGCTGAACTGATTTGTTACATGCATGTTATTTATGACTGTAACTGACCTCCCTCATGGGTGAACTTATGCCACGCATTGGTCGCCACTTGCAACTGTCTTATGCCTGACTTGAGGTCACTTTATAACTGCCTTCACCTTCTATCCCTTTCTTTCCCATGCTGTGGTTCACCTGTACCGTGTTCCAGGATGCCTTCACTAGAGTTACACTGCCCTCCTTCCCTGTCTCGTGGGTGTCAAGAAGTTAGGTGGGAAGGAAGGAGAATTGTGGTTGCTGTTGCTAGCAGGCAAGGGTTCTTTTCATATACGATTACCAAGGTGTCTCGCAAGTAGGGAAAAGTTGGGAGTAGCTGGGTTCTGTTCAGTAATGGTAGAGGTGAATTCTCATCTAGGGTCATAAAAGCCTTGGGCAGGGCAGGAAGATCCTCAGGCTACTGTCATATACACCACTACAAGCAACTTTGTACTTTCAGTAATTATTTATTGACTCTTGATAACACTGAACTTAACAGAAACTCAGTTTGTTTACACTTACATGAATTTGAACGTGTACGATTTTTACCACTAGAAGTTGTATTTTATCGAAATGACGTAGTTTTTGTGTCTGTATTGGTCGAAAGTTTTATGAAGAGATTCGAGGTAGAATGATCTCTCTCTGAATCCTGAGGTTCATGAACTGCAGAATCCAAGAAAAATCCACTCCCCCAAACATGTACTGTTTGTCTAATTTGAAAACTAGGTGGTTCCCTAAATTAGTGACTTTCCAATCATGTTGCTTTGCTGTGTGTTTCTGGCAGTTACTGACCTAACGCTAAAGTTGACATCAACTTTATCTATTAAGATCAGGGGATGAGGCTCAGGCAGTCCCTCTTCTAAGTTATAGCCGTTCCAAACTATCAGCTCTCAAATTCTCAAAGACCTTCCAACTGCTGAAACTGCCAGAATTCCAGGAAATACACCAGATTTTACTTCCTGTCCACATAGCGAAACTTGAATTATGTCGTAAGATTTGAATTATGTTACTTCTCAGTGTAAAAAGGTGGCTGTGTGCCGGATCATTATTTGTGGATTACGTGGTCTTAACTTAATACAAATGTAATTAATAAGAAAAAGTCCAGTAGTTCATATTGAGCGGTTACATGACCTTGCACAACTAACTTGCATCTGTGCTATATTCTATGTTCAGTATCATGCAATGTTAAAGTCAAATATTTTCATTCTGTACACAGAGTAAATATATACAGGGAGAAGAATTTGAGTCATTTTTTCTGTGTGTGCTTCCTTCCAGTGAAGACCTTTTAAATTGAAAATTGTGCAACTCTCTGATCTGTGTCTGTTAGTACAGACTTCCGATAAATAAAAGTTGTTGATCATAACCAGAAAGACTCTCATTATGTTATTCTTGTTTGTGGGCATTTAAAGATGTTTAATCTAAAACTAATAATCTAAAGCATGTGACTGCAGTAAATTTCATATACTGCAGTGATTAATCAGTTACAAGCTAAAATGTGTGTGCATCTTCTTACGGTTTTTATTTTGTTCTTTTCCACCTCAGACAAAAATGGCTTCAACATACATAGGTTTCTTTACCCCCCCCCCCAGCCCTTCTTTGTCTAGTGCCTTAAAATGGGCGTAGCTGATCCACATATTTCACAGGTGCCACACACAGCCAGTCACTTGTCATTTGAGATTGTGTGGTTACATCATCATTATGCAAACTTGTTTGTGGTTGATGCACTGCTGTGCTGTCATCATTGCAATTTACCCTCTTTTGTCCCTTTGTTTTATTTAGTTATGTTGTCTTCAGCTATTAAAATAACACATATACAGACTGTTACGTTATCCCTCTTACAGATGGTAAAATATACTAATTTATGCATTCCTGTCGTTTGAAACTGTTTGAGAAAGTGGTCATATCTGGAAGTTTCATAGATGTTTTGCAAGTGTAGTCTTGTGACTTTGAGGAATTATACCTGGCTTTGAAATGATGGTGATATTGACATTCTAGTAGGTGTTGCTTAAAGATGATGATGGTGCTAAAATAGTAGGCATTAGTAGATTTATAGTGAAAACTTCGTAAAATATCACTTTCTTTCCCATTTCTTAACACCATATTATATATTTTCTACATTATACATCATTTGAAGCTGTTTCTGATTTTTTTATTTTTCTTTGGGTTCAGGCTGTAGTATATTCCAAGATCTTTTGTTATTAGAAGCCAAATTGAAACTAGGATCTTCCGAAGTGTGTTTTATGTTTGGTCTGTCATTTATATTATTTCATTTGTTGTTCAGTCATTTTATCAGCATGTCCAGACCAGCTATGGGGCTCACCTAGCCTCTTATCCTATGGTACTAGAAGCTTTTTCTCCAGGATGAAGCGGATCTGTTTATTGCCAAGGTTAAACATGTATGAAACTTTGCCTTCAGTCTCCCCATGTATATTTATGGCTTAATGCATTGGGGCGATGGTAAAAAGAAAAACAAATTCTGATGTTCAGAAAGATTGGGTCCCTTCTCTTTTAAACATTGCGGTGTAATATATTAGCTGTTTATGATGTTTGTGCAGCTTCTGTATGCAGGAGAGGGGGAGGCAAGGAGACCGGATGATGGAGGCCTATCTCAGCTGGAATTATCAGTTCTACGTGATGACAAACCTGGTACCATCAGTCTCAAAGGTCATGAGTTTGTACAGATTTCATACCACATGCCAACAAACTGTGAGGTTTGTACCAAACCTCTGTGGCACATGTTCAGGCCACCACCTGCATTGGAGTGCAGACGTAAGTTTACTTTAATCTGTAGTAGCAGTACTGAATCTTATGCCTTGGAGGAGTACAGGCACTAGTATCATATTGTCTACACTTAAGTAATCCTGAATCTCTTTACTGTGGCATGAGGACACTACATCTCATATTTCTGCGCCATGTATGTGATAAGTATGCAGACTGGAAGGAAAAGTGGAAAAATATATGACTTGTACTTTTTGTTAGTACTGTTACAGTTGTAAAATCTTAAACGCTGAGCCAGTCCAGACAAATAACATGCACAGAGAAACAGAAAATAAGAACAGATTTTCTTTTGAACAGCTACATTGAAAGAAGCTAGTTGTGGAATGGGGGATAATATGAAGTTATGTTGGACAAATATTAGTGAAAATGTGACCTGAGTTAAATTGCCCCAAAGTAGGGTCTGGGCTTGTATCATGAATTTTTTGGGGGTTCATATTGTAGAAACTGCTAAATAATTAATAATCTGATGAAAAAAAAAGGGCAAGAAATACATCTCATAAATGAATTTGTGTTGTGAGCTTTCTTAAACGTGAACTGAACTAATGGAGTGCTGGAGCCAGAAGCTTTGATATGCCACATGATGCTGGGTATTTCAGAGATAAATTTAATTTGTGTCAGGTGCAGCTTGGGTTTGAGTTGAGAGTGGATAAGTATCCATTGTTGTCTGTTCTCTTATCCTCTTCATGTAATATTATTAGAAGTTTTAAAGTCATGTATGAAAATTTGTTGATAACAAAGGACTAATCATAACCAGGATAATATTTTACCAGATTGAACATAATATCCTCCTGTGAGGAGGCAGATTAGAATACCTCCACTGTAGCTCTCCAAGTCGTAGAATGCAGTAAAAAGAGAACCTGATATTGAGGGATATTACTGGGCAATCCTGTCACTTGGGGACATGTGTACAGAGACCTGTTCCTCCAGGTTGGGAGTTTGATACAAGGCTGGTGACCTTGGTGTGTAAAGAAAATTATTGTTTCAAAATCCAAAGAAGTGAAAGCAAGATGATGTAAATCATGACAGAACAGACAAGTCTGGCAGAATCTTCTCAGGAATGCTACAGGTCAGAAAGGGTTGTTTTGCCAGTTGTGATGGTGGTGGAACACAACATCAAGTATACAGACTTCCCCCCCCCCCCATCTCTATCTTTTGAGGTGACTTGGGAGGCATGGGTGTTGATGGGAGAATAATAATAAAATTGATTTTAAAGAAATATGATGTTAAGGTATGGACTGACTGTTTTCATCTGGCTTGGGGTAGGGGCCCATGGTAGGGTGTTTGGAGCACAGTAATGATCATTGGATTTCACACAAGGCAGAGAATTTAATGTTTTACCTTTTTAAGAATCATCATCTGCCAGCTTATTTACTAAATAGTGCTAAGTAACTAATCATCTAAAATGTTTATTATATTGGCAGCCACGCTAAAGAGACATTTTGAGACACTTTGCAAGGTACACATTACCACTGAAATAACAAGTACCAGATTCTGATTCTGATTTGTAGGGTGCAGAATCAAGGTACATCGGGATCACTTGGATCGCAAGGAAGACTCGATTGCACCATGCAAACTACATTATGACCCAAATTCTGCCAAAGAACTTCTCCTTCTCGCAGCAACTTCTGATGACCAGAAGTTATGGACCCAGAGGCTAGGCAAGAAAATACAGAAGTCTGGCTACAAGGCTAACAGTGGAGTGGATGGAGCCAGGGTGTCTCCAAGGTGACTGCATGAATTCCTCATCAAGAATGCATGGGAAGCTTTTGGGCAATCTGCTGTAGTCACATTGTGCATGTTTGTAATGCAACTCTCATGACCACTGAACTGGTTCCTTCATTAAGAGGAGGGAAGGGACCTTCGCTTGTTATTTACTAGCATCATTTGGCCAGTTTTAGTGTGGCTTGAAATGCCTCACATTACTTAGTGTGTGACATTGCTGGTATGGAAACATTTAAATTGGTAACACTCTCAAGGCAGTGGAAGATAAATATTAAAGTTTATTTCTATTTTTGTCTTTACAGTTTATACAATTAACTGTCTGTACCAATCTCAGAATGTATCTTTCTAGCATATTCTTGTTTGTGCCCATGTTATCTCTTAGATTAAAATTCAGTACAAATGGGCACCTGCCTTCATTCATAGACAGACAGTGGGGTAGATTGATTGATTACATGCATTCCCATGTTAAGTGGATTCCTTGTCACTATGGCATAGCATGACCTCGTGTTCCAGATGTAGGTTCGAGACTCCAGATATGGTTGGTAACTGCGAGTGCATTGAATAATCAGTTGCACACAGCCAACAAGTAATGGTCCTTCAGCTGGGGGCTTAGGTAGGAGCCAGACACACCCTACTGTAAAACTAGTGTGTTGTGCAAAGTGTTACACAGAGCCTCGAACTTGCACGGATTGTTCTCTCAAGGTTGACACAATATGTAGATGAAATTATTGGGACCATCATCGTGGATTTTAACATAATTGATCATCTCCTCATCAAGTATTGTGCATTCTTCAGATACTGCAGAAAATATTTAAGTTGAGAGAGAAATATTGTACAGTATCCTAACTGAATTTAGTATACCCATGAAAATAGTTGCCTAATTAAAATGGGTTTAAATGAAACCTACAGTCCATATAGGTAAACATGTGTCTGATGTATTTCCAGTCAGAATTGTTTTACTATATTGTGTTTGATTTTCATTGTTGCTTTAGAAAATGCCATTAGGAAGATTCAACAAAGCTAGGATAGATAGGAGATAAATGGGAAGCATCATCTTCAGGTCAATATTGATATTAATTTATTATGCAGAGACATAGTACAATGAAGAAAAACAGGAAAGTGTCAAATGGTAGGGTGATATTTAATAATTATTGGAAGGTATGTGGAAGGAAACAGCCACAGTGTAATTTGAGGTACTATCCAAGAATTTTCTTGGAGGGGCTGAGGAAAGCTGTGAACAACTTCAGTAAGGCTAGTTAGTTTCCAATCTAGATTCGAACTGATCACCTCCCAGATAGGATTTGGAAATGTTACTCTTTGAGTCAGCTTGTTCACTAGGGTTCATACTGGTCAGGATGTAAATATGTATGTCTGTCCAAACCAACTGGCTATGCAGTAGAAAAATTATGTTTCTGGACATTATCTGTCATCCTGTTAAAAAAGGCAGGACATTGGGTAATATCCAGAAACATAATATTTGTATTAATATACCATAGTCACAGACTTTTAGATCTTATTGACCGTGCAGTGTTATATCACAAAAGATACGAGGGAGAGTCAGCAAATAGGTCACAAATGGAAGTGAAATAGCTCTAATGGACGTAATAGGTTTTCCATATTTATCACTAGGTAGCAGTACAGTCTAGCTTCATGACAGTCTAGGTAGCAGATGCACATATGCCTGTTCAGAGCCTGGATTCAGTAGTCAAAATGGTGACCATGCTTGAATATACTACTGAAGAGCAGCATTCTGTTCTGTATTTTTTTGTGGGCAAAAGGACTCATTGCAAAGGATATTCACAAGGAAATGCATCCTGTATATGGAGGGAAGTGTTTTTCGTCTAAAGCGGTTCTCAACTGGATCAAGAAATTCTCAAGGGCGTTCTAATGACACAGATGGTGCCCAACCAGGTCGCCTTGTTGAAATTGTGACAGAAGCAGCTGAGCAGTGGGTGGAATAGTTGATTTGAGCTCACAGGAGGATAAGAACAGACTGTGGCAACTTCACTAGGGTGTTGCCATGTTTTAGCATACAGCATAATGGATGATCGTTTGAAGTTTCAGAAAGTGTGCACATGGTGAATGCCCAGAGAACTGAAGGACTGAGGAAAAATGAATGAAATATGTCTGTCCTTACAACATCTCTTGCAGTGTATGGATGAAGGAGAAGATGTGCTTAACAGGAGCGTTACTTGGGATGAATCATGGGTGCATCACTACCAACTGATTTAAAGGATGCTTCATTGCAATGGAAACATCTAGTTATGTTCAACCAGAAAGTATTAAGGTTATTCCATCAGGTGAGAAGGTTATGCTTACCGTGTTTTGGGATTCTCAGGGAGTACTGTTATCCCATTTTCAGAAGCATGGTGAATATGTGAATTCTGCATAATACTGTCTCGTGTAGGGGGGTATGCGTGACGAAATGACAGGCTCTAGTTAGGATGATTGTAATTAAGACAGAGTGTGTAACCAATGGATTTATTAGCACTTGGTTACACACTCTGTCTTAATTACACTTAAATACAGTGCTATTGTTGATTTACACACTTTNACATCATACTGTCTCGTCTAGGGGGGTATGCGTGATGAAATGACAGGTTCTAGTTAGGATGATTGGATTTATTAGCACGTGGTTACACACTCTGTCTTAATTACACTTAAATACAGCGCTATTGTTAATTTACACACTTTACATTGTACCACTGCACATGCACTAGGATTCCCAGTATCATTAGTCGTCTCCTGGTAACAGATCTGAACAAGAAACTATAAGAGTCTCACTGGATCACACACTCCCAATATCACTGTACTGCTGCACACACAAAGTCTTCAAATTCACACGCTAAGTCTTCACATGCTGACCTTTCCATGGCTATCTTGCATTGAGATCTCTCTCGCTGTCTCTTAAACACTCAAACACTCTCAAATACTGAAATTTATTCTGTCTCTAACTGTTATATAGCTTCTGCACTGATCACACATAGGAAACAACCTGTATAACTGGAACATGTTTACTGAAAGATTGCATAGCAACAGTTGCAGCACGAACGCCATAGAAAGCCAGTTACATGATAGCTACCACTGTTGCGGTATTACATCATTGCGCCTGTGCAGAAGTCTGTTTACTGAACCATTGCCTAGAAGCGGGTTGCATAACCTCGTCCCACCATTGCCAGTGTGTATTGTGTATCTTTACTGGTCTGTTACACAGCAGAACTCTGGCCATCCACGTTACAGTGCTGTGAAGTTCTGTTGAAGCTTTGGGATGCAATTCACAGAGTACATCCAGGCTGAATGCCAAAAGAGGTACTGCTTCATCGTGATAATGTCAGACCCCATACAGCTCAAGCAAACCAAGAGAGATTTAAAGGACCACAATGGGAACTTCTTGAACATCTGCCTTATAGCCCAGACTTGGCCCCAAGTGACTTCCATCTGTTTGGTCCGCTAAAAAGCACCTTGGTGGCAGACTTCCCACGGATGATGAAGAGGTTGAAACAGAGGTGTGGAAATGGCTGAGACAATAAGCAGAAGACTTCTGTGCCCTGGCTTTAGATGCACTGGTAAAGCAATGGGACAATTGTATCAATATTGGTGGAAGATGTATTGAGAAATAAATGTTTTTCTCAGGTTTGAACATCACATGTTTTACACTTAATATCCATTGGTGACTGTTTACTGACTCTCCCTCATAGAATTCTTCATAACCACTGATGTGTGAATCTCTCATCTTTGCTTTTAGTCGTAGGAATGTAATGAGACCATTTGTGGTACTAGGACCTCTAATAGACCTATTGTACACGCCTTTGATTACAAATAATTGTGAAACATAGGTGAAATAACAATTGGCTGGTGAAGACCAAAGTGCTCAGAGAAGAACCTGCTTTACTGCAACTGTGTTTGCCATAAATCCCATATGGATTGTTATGTTGAGGTCTCCACAGTTAGAAGACGATGGCTATCTGCCTAAGCTCTGGTGTTGTGTAGTACAATGTTTACTAACATAGTTTACACACTTTTTATTAAAAGATTTGTGGTTGATTTTTGTGCATAAAGTCTGGTAATGTGTATTCTCAGACTAGAATTTCAAGTGTTATATTGAGGTTTGGGAAAATATGATTTTGTAATATTGAGCTAAAGATGAATTACATAAGAATGAAGCACAATTTATAATCAGTTTTAATTCAGATGTGTAACGGTTTTATTTCTCTGTATTTGACACACTTTCAAATTACTGCTTATCCTTGTTTTAAAAAAGCACAATTCAAAGATACAGACTTCTTGGCTGTACTGAGTACAATAGTAGACCTAGCATGGGGAGTGTTATGCCAGTCACAAATTATTTTTATGACCATTTCATTTCTACCTACTCCAAATTTCCTGATATGCCTCTGGCTTTCCTTGACACAAGGAAGTGACAAAGCAAAACAGTGAATGACAAAAGCATGCTGATGCATCAACAGTGGCAGCAACTCTTAATAGAAAACTTTGCTGGCAGGGTCTCTGTGAGCAGACTGTTGGAGATAGTAGCATTAAGAGAGAGGCAGGGAACACTAGACTGCAGTATGAGAGAATGGAACATATGGAGAACTGATGTGTTACAAGCAGTGCATGGAAACAGCTTATAATTTTACTGAAGGATTGTAGCCATTTTGAAAATATCTTGTTCTGCAAAAAGGCATCTGCTACATTCCAAGCTACATGTTGCCAACAGACATAAGGTTTAAAGGTATACAGAGAACCCATTATTTATTTGAACCAAGAATGTTACTTCAAATGATAATGCTCTAGACTTGTATTTGGGAGATGTTTGGTTTAAAACTTGGCCAGGACACTGGCTGTCTTCAGAGAGGTTTTGTGATTTCTTTATTCCCTTCAGTCTTCCTACCATTTGACACTATACAGGGTTACTGAAAAAGAATTAAAGGATTTCATTATTTGTTATATACAGGGTGGGCCAGACTCAATTAGGCAGTTTTTGATTAGATGTTATTTTTATT